GATGTGTTGTCGGAGTTGACCTTGATGTTTCTTAGGAGGAGTGGGTTCCTCTTTGTTTCTCCTAAAGTGCTTTAACCTCTTCATCCCCACCGTGGGTTTCCTCAGTTCATTGGCATGCCATCATATGGTTTGATAGCAGTTGTTATTTCCCTGGATCCTTGCCTATCACCCAATCCCATAGGCAGATGGTGGACTGCCTTTCCTATTGAGCAGACCCTCAGTTGGATCCATGAATGACAAAGGCTCAGGAAGCCCCAGCCTGGGAAAGTTTCAACAGCACAGAAAGTGAAGAGCTGAGACCGCATCCCCAGTTTGCATTCCTATGAAAGCCTTCCCAATACGGTTGTCATTTTCCCTGCAACAGGCCCCCTCCCATGCGGATCCTGACGGAGGCCGCTTGTTTGGAAGCCGACGCAGCAAGGAAGGGGCTCTGCACACATTGTTCCAGCAGAACCTGTACCCAGGCATCGCCACCAGAGAACGACTGGCCCAAGAGCTGGACATTCCAGAATCCAGGATCCAGGTAGGTTTTAGCTTCACTTGCATTTTCCCTGGGGGACAGGTTGTGGACACAATCAGGCCCAAGCCACTGCATGTCAATCTACATGCTCAGCTGGGGAGCTAAGAAGCTTTGGCCCCTGTATGTGCATCACTGTTGAGCTCATGCCCTTTGAAGTCATTCCAAGTCATTCACTCGCGGAAACCAAGTACTATTGGAGCACAGGCCTGGGACATTCCAACAGGTCAACACATCTTTGCTGATTTCCCTAGAGATCATTTTTCCAGTTTTATTGCATGGACCACACAAAACACTCTGAGACCTTAGGTATGGGAAAAAAATAATATATATATCATATCCACCAGTGTTGCCTGACCTTTCGTTCTTCGTTTGCCAATTAGGTGTGGTTCCAGAGCCAGCGCACAAGACAGATAAGGCAGAGCCGATTGGAGTCTGCCAAAGCCCAAGGGGAAGGGCCACCACATGGACAGGAGCAGCCTCCAGCTTGGACTCAAGTTAACTCCCCATCATACAAAACGGCTCTCTTATTGAGCTTCTCCTTGACACAGGAATTGCCCTGTGTTTGGCAAGAAGGCTTAGCAGAGGAACCCATGACCACTGGTTCCAGCCGCCTTTCTGTCCCCAGAGGTGAACAATGTGCATGCACCGCCTGGTGGGCAGGTGCATTGTTTCTGGGCAAGAAAGGTTTTGAATCTTCTTCTCCTGAAACTGTAGGAAGGACAGAGTCCTCTTCTGGGGTCACCTCAGACTTTAGATCCAAGCACTGTCTTGTGTGGATGGGTCCGTGCTGACCTCAGTGAACTCAGGGTAGGAGAGGCTATAGAGAAAATGGAGAAGCATGAGAGAACACACACACACACACACACTCATGCGTGCACACGGACACCAATTTCTCTTTCTACACTTGATGTGCCAGTGGCTTTAAAGCCCTCCTTTCTAACTATATTCTCTTTTTAGAACATTTCCCAAAGGAAGGCAAGAGGAAACGGACATTCATTTCTCCATCCCAAACCAGTATCCTCCTTCACCCCTTTGAGAAGAACTGCCTTCCAAGCATTGCTACAAGGGAACACCTGGCCAAACTCACAGGTCTTCCAGAATCCCGCATTCAGGTACATTTTCAGAGTGTGGCCTGTGAATTGTTCAACATGGAAAGGATAGTGGCGCCTGAGACATTGCTGGGGAATCGTGGGCCCCTTTGAGTTATCCACAAGATCCAGTGCCAAGGCAATGAAAGGAATACGTTGAACTTGCAAGTGAGAGACCGTCCAAGGAAGAATTTCCAAACCAAATGGTATGTGTGTGTTGGGTGGGGGGGACTTGGCAGTGTACATGCATGTAGAAATAGTGAGCAGACAAAAGAGGGGAAACAGAAACATTGGCACCTATCTAGAGATCACACAATCTGTCAGATCTTGAGCAGCTTAGTAGCACTCTCCATGTGGACCTCTGGATTTTGTGAGTGTGAGTGGGGTTGCTGTCTTGTGTGTGGCAACGTGTTTGTCAGTGTCCTGGTCCTCAGGACCCCAGGGCAGGAATGGATTCTACCCACAAACCACACCTTGTCTGGATAACCTAATCATCCAGGATAATTGTCCGAAGGATTATTGGCAGGTGGGTGAGAGGTCCCATGTGCCCTGGTTGAAAAAGCTCTGCAGAGAGTGGTTCCTGGTATAGGATTTGTGAAACGCCCTTATGGTATATGGAGGCAGACTCTCTGGAAGCCTGTCCTTTGGGACAAGAGCCAGTGACCCTGCTTCAAGCGGGCCTTCATGGGCCAGGACTCTGACAAGTCTTATCCCTGGACACAGGGGAAGCTCACCGTGCTCGTTCCTGAAAACTCTTCTTCCCATGTAGCAAATGGAAGAGAGGGAGAGCCAAATCTGAATGTGAGTGTTGTTGATGTGGATTCCTGGCTGCCCATGCCTTCCTCTAGACCCATAAGAGATGTGCTTGTAGACTTACCTATCATGTGGATGTGAGGCCAGGTGGGCAAGGTAGGGACTGAACAGCAAGCAGACCTGAGTGCCTGCCATTCAAGCCTATCAAAGGGGGATGGACTCCAGGCCAGGTGTCAACAATTTCCTTGGGTGTTCACCTAGTTTCCAAGGGCCAGGTGAAATTTATGGACAGAGTTTCGCTGAGATTCAGACCAATAGTCCTGGCCTTCTCCGCGAGAGATCCCAGGTGGGGGTAGGGGGAAAGTGAGCTGACATCTATCCCTTCTTCTCATGTCCACAACATCTCTTCTCTGTCCCAGGTCTGGTTCCAGAACAGAAGAGCTCGGCACCCAGGGCAGAGCAGAAATGGCCCCGTGAAGGACCTGGAAGCACACTGCAAACCCAGTCCTCGTGTGACAGTCCCAGGGAACCAGGCCTCCTGGCCAGTGTCCTTGTATTCTCTCCTCAACTGGCTCTGTCCAATCCTCTGAGAAAAATGCAGGCCCTTGCTGCAGGGACAACTCCCATCCCCTGCATGGACTTTGCCCCTCCAGTTTTCTGTGGGGGCCTTGGGAGCCAGGCCCTGGGGGCCACGATGGTCCCGTCCACCCAAGGTGGGCAGGGACTATACAAATTTCCTGCTGCTGAAGGCCTGAGGAGCCGTTCCTTGACGGGACTGACTCTGGGAGGGTTTCTCTCCATTCCACATGCTCTTCTTTTCCCCCCGGCCCAAGGGGAATACCAGCAGCAACATGAGTACCCTGGCATGGTACCACTGACCTTCCAAGACTACCCCAGCGTTTAGCTGACAATCCTTGCCAAAGCTAGAAGGAGGCAGGGCACCCTGGGAGCAACTGCGCTGCGCAGTGCTTGGGCGAGGGTTCCCAGCTTGTCATCGGCACAGGACAGGCTCAGGATGGGGCAGTTTTGCACACTGCACATGCTGAGATCCCTGGCTGTCAGCAGCAGGCACACCCTACTGCGGGGCTGTCTGTTGCGCTCAACCCACAGCATCAACCCTCTGCAGAAACCTCAAGTTTTTTAGAGGAACTTTTCTCAGCTGCAGAGATGTAAGAAGACACACACCCTTTTCTCAGTGGGCGTTTGCAGCAAGAGGACGCTCTGAGACCCCTGGAAACACCCCTCAGCGGGGAGGAGTTTCACACCCTACTGGGCATGCTGCTGACTCCACATGGCCTCAGGCCTAGGAGCAGGGAGGCCTCATCCTTCCCACCCCACACTCATTCAGATCTTTCCTGAGATGCAGTCCCAGCAGGTCAGCAAGGAGGCAAAAGAGGCAGCATTGTGCATGTTCTGGAGGAAGACCGATGCCCAAAGCAGAATCCATCACTTGGAAAGACAGAAGAAAGATGTCCTTTCTGCCCTGTGGGCAGGCCTCCATTGCTTTCCCGATGATCACCAAGCTCCACAAAGCCTCTGAAGGCACCATGGGCACCGGGCAATGCGCACCCTCCCTGACATCTGATTGGTCCAAAGCACTGTCAGGACACACACGTGACCTCCTCCCTGCCATCACCCTTTCCTCTGTAGACTGGGAAAATCTGGTCCTGGCAGCCAAACCAAGCAAGGAGGAGAGGTCAAAGAAAGACACCTCCACATGCCTTTTCCTCCTGCCCAGTCAGAAGGTCCCATCTCCAGGAGCTGAACATGTAGACCAAGACAGGACACTACATATCTTGACCGTGGGAGCCCAGGGTCACGAATCCATCCTGGCTGGGATAGCCTGGGAACCAGCGAAAGAGGAAATGTCTGCAGTCTCCAACCTCTCAGTGATCCTGTCCCAGCCAAAGTCTGGAATGCCCTGGGGCCTTTGCCTGGCATCTTTGCCCCAGGGAAGCCTTTCCAAAGAACACAAAATGGCAACACGAAGGGCCATAGACACTCTCAGCAAGCATTCCAGATAGGGTACCACTGTGGCTCATTCCTCAACCTTAGCATTTGTTTTCTCTTTTGTTGGTATGTATCGGCATGCCTCTCTACCCACAGTGTGCCTTCACTTCTCAGGAAGAAAGAAGATGTTCCCAGTCAGCCTCTCGGTGACCTTCTGTCAGCAAGGTCACCTCTGTCCCTTGCAAGGGCTAACTTGGAGGAAATCCATACTGGAATCGCAAGCTTGAGGGGAAAATCCATTGGTCCAATAAACCCATTTTTGCCTCCCCAATGTGATCCTTTGGTTGTGATTTGTTCCATTTCCCTCCTGTCCTCTCATGCCTGCCAGTCTTCAGAGATGTGAGATGCTTCCTGGCCCTGGGACCGGCTGTGGAAGCCATTGGTATGCCCAAGTCCAGTTCACAGCTTTGGGCACAGACAACCTCATGGGGCAGCACTAACACTGCATGGCGGTCATCAAGCTTCGCCTGGATTGACGGTGCCAGATGGGCAAGCATTCCTCAAGGGATGTAAGTTGAACACAAGTGGCAGACAGTCCATGCACATTGTATTTGTCCCCACTGTTCTCAGCAGTGGCCAAATTCATACCCAAGGCTCATCCTACTATGCTGGCAATGAATCTACCTCCCTCCCTCGCTCTTTGCCTCCCCCACCTCTCCATGTCTCTATTTCTTCAGATCTCTGTCTCTCTGTGTCTATCTTTCCCACTTTATCACACTTTCTCTCAGAAGTGGACACACACAGATGTCCACACTGTCAGAGCATCATGCTTATGCAACTCAGAGTATGGGCACTGAAACTCCAGGAAAGATTGTGGGTCAAGACATTTGGAAGAATAAGGTGGGCATTGGTGGGGTTTTTTCCTTGGGGTTTTAATCTGCCCCTACCTATTTGCCACATGCCCTGGTAGAAAGAGATTGTAGATTTGGACTTTTGAGCCGCCCCCCGCCATGTAGAAAACACATCTGTGTTCCAAGGGGGAAGGAACCAAAGAATTCCTATCTTGGTCCCTTCTATCCAAATAGATCTCTATCTCTATCCACATTCACATATGCACAAATATATCTGTATTTCCATGTCTCCATGCATCCAGACCCATGGGTGGATCGTGTTTATCTCTCCATACATATAGGTTGTGCTAGAAGCCCTCCACACTTGCCCTAGTGTGTCGTTCTTCCAGTTCGCTCTATGGACACATCTACCTGTGGTTTCGGTAGACAGAGTGGAAGTGGCTGTCTCTCTCCCTGAAGAGAGTGAGTTAGAATGTCTGAAAGGTGGCTAGCCAGGGTGGCCTTGGCACAGACTGGGCTTTTGTTCTGTCTAGAAAAGCCACGTGGAAGGACGGTTCACTTGCAGTGGTGGGAAGACTGCGGTCTGATCTGAGAGTGTCTGGGTGGTCACTGGAGCCATGGGGTTGCCACTTCTGCACATAGGACATGGAGGGAAGAACAGAGCTGCAGCCACATTGGGGTCCAAGGCCAGCCAGGCCAGAGGAGTCTAAAGTCTGGACTTGAGCCCTGGAGCCTGTCCTGTCAACAGGTGGCCTGTTCCTTCCATATCGGTGAGCTTTCAGGGCCCTGGCATGTGTGCAACATGGAGCCACCACTCTGGGAAATCACCTGCCAGAGAAGTTGTCCACGTGGAAGCTGGCAGGATTCCACCAGCTAGCAGGTTGTTGTTCATGGCCTTGGAGGCCAAGGCCCCAGGGGCTCTGATCTGCAAGGACATCCTCACACAACTGTGCCTCCCCTGGGATCCCTCTCGCCCTCAGATCACCTTGGCCTGGGAATGAGGGATCAAGAACAGGACACACATGACTGCAAGACATCCTCTTGGGCCTTGAAGACTGCTCCCAGTCTTGGCGAGAGTTAACCTCAGGCACTGCCTGGCGACCACCTGCACTGTAGGGACAGAGAAGTCCATAAAAGCAAGACAGAGCC